CCCTTCTCTGTACACCAGCACTGAAAAGCTGTCCGCTTTCATGTGTACATTGCTGTGGTAGATGCAACACGTGAAACCTGAATTGCGCGCATTACATCCTGTGGGCGACCCATCCTCTCTAAGTGGATTCGTTCAACGGCCAGACCCACAGGTGCTGGCCTATTTCTGGGTAACTCCTGGTCGCTCCTCCTGCCTGGAGGAGAGCGTCCTCCCTCTACGGCAGTTTCCATGGGCACCCTGACAGCAGGCGTTGAAGGGCTGGGAACCATGGTGCGCTCACGCGTTCGGGGCCACCAAGAGAGCTGTCAATCTCTCCTCCTGAGCTCGGTTCAAGAACAGTAAGTCAGAGGAGGTGGAGAAAAACGCGTACAGAAGCATTTTGGGCCATGGACTGTGGGCAAACGCATCCACCCCATCGGTGGTTCGTCTCGTGGGCTCAGAGAAACGCATAATTGACACTGAGCGTTTCTCATGTCACAAACAGGCCCACAGCTGCTATATCAATCTGAGACAAAATGTTCCGTCAGAGAATGATTAAAGGTTGTTCTGTCTCCGACAACTTTGAGACAAGAAGAAAACACGGCTGCAGCATACGATAGTCGTGCTGGACACCAGATTTCTGTCCCTCGACTGCTGCAGAAAAAACAGCATGTCGTCCAGTGGACATGAAGTGGCCTCTACGCCTTTCTCTGTACAGCAGCGTTGAAAAACTGACCACTTGATGTGGACAGCGCTGTGGTGGTTGTAGCACGTGACTCCTGAATCGTACGCACTACATCTTGAGAGAGATCCATCCTCTCAAAAAGATCCGCACAGTGGCCAGACCACAGGTGCTGGCCTATTCTGATTAATTCCTGATTGTTCCTCCCGCCTGGAGGAGAGCGTCCTCCACGGCAGGTTCCACGAGCGCCCTGATAACAAATGTCGTAGGCCTGGGAACCATGATGCGTTCACACACTTGGGGCAGAGGAGCTGCCAGTCCCTCCTCCTGAGCTTGGTTCAGAAAACCGTGATATCAGAGGGAGAGAAGAAGGTGAAAAGGCATTACGACCACAGGCTGTGAACAGACACGTCCACCAGCGGTGGATCGTCCCGTGGCTCCACGATAATTATAATTGACATTGAGTGTTCTCTCGTGTGAATCAAAAACCCTGATGATTCTGCAGGTCAAGGTCAGTGTTGAGTCACATTCACAGATCACGTACGACACTCCAAAAACATTTAAATGAGCTGCTGTGTGGAGAGCCACAGCGGCCCCACAGCTTGTTAAATGTGTGTGCGTAGGTCTGCTGACGGAAAACAGCTGATATCACTCAACCGGTTCACGTGAGTTGCACTGCTGCCACCTGTCTGTACAAGCTGCTCAGCAGCAGCATGTGTCCAGATAAAGCAGAATTAAAGCGGCTCGGGCGCATAATGGAGTGTTGTTTCTCACAGCTCAGAAATTGACAATCTAGAATAAATCTCATCTTCCAGTTCATTGGGACCAGGAAGTGATGAGAGAGACCTTGCGTTTTCCTCTCCTTCTGAGACTCTAGAAATTACATTTAAAACAGAATTTCCTGAGCTTCTGCTAGAGGGGACGAGATCTGTTCATAAATGACAGAAAAAACATCACAGAGTTCCTCCACACCGGGGTTTGAGCTGAATTGCAGCGTGAATCCCGGATGAAAATGGTTCGCCCATCCGTCTGGAAGCGCGCGTTCATTGCCACCCGTTTATAAGCTATAAAGCGGGCACGCATTTATGCTGTGAAAACTCACATACATGCTGATGTGCGCTGGAGCGCGCTGAGTGAGAGAGAAAAAACACGCGCGTCCCCAAGCATGCAAGACGTTGTGTGTTGCTGTGGGAAACAGCTCATGTGTTGTGTTCACGTTGTGTGTAGCTGCTCCGTGTAACGCTCGGGAAGCGGGTGCACATATGAGCCAACGTGCCCTGAAGGGTCGTGTGTGTGCGTCCTCATTCATGTGACGCCTTAAGCCAGGATTGCCGCGAGGGCGCGCGACATCGGTGGAGCGAGGTTACCACTGGCTCGGTCTGCAGAAACACATTCATTGTTTGCTGCGAATCACGTGAGCTTTTGAGTGATTCCATGAGCTGCAATATTAATTCAGAAAACCTTCTTCGAGGATGTATGAGCCGGGCCGCTGTGAGGCTTGTGGAGCTGCTGACGCCGTGGGAGCGAGCATTGGCACTGGTGCGGTCAGGAAGCAGCGCGCGGCATTGGTGGAGCGAGGCTACCACTGGCTCGGTATGCAGAAACACGTTCATTCTTGGCTGCAAGTCACGTGAACTTCAGAGTGATTCCACGAGCTGCAGTATTAATTCAGAAAACCTTCTTCAAGGATGAAAGAGCAGAGCCGCTGTGAGGCTTGTGAAACTGCTGACGTCGCGGGAGCGCGCGTTTGACACCACTGCAATGAAAAAACGTGTGTCGCCTCTGCCGAGAGCGAGATACGTTGCTGAGCTCGTACTGTGGTTTCACGTTAACGTTGACGTGAACGGCAGGCGCTGAGAGCTGCGTGCGCGCTTTCATGCCACGGGAGCGCGTATCGGCACCGCTGACAGTGAATGAAAACAACCTTAAAAAGGCTCATTCGTGATGAGTGTGTGTGATGGGGCCGCTTGTCAGATAAACCATGCTGACAGCCTGGCTAAAGGACACTTCATCATAAAATGATGTTATTCACAGTGTCATCAACACACCTCCAGCAACTCGACACCTGGTTACCTTCCGTTGAGCTGTTTGTTGTCCTGGAGGGCCCCCTGTTGGTGAAGTCCGGGAAAAAAATGAACTTCCGGATGCCGGGGACGTCTGACGGGAGGGACTGGGGTAGCGGAGCTGGGGAGGCGTTGTGCAGCCGTGGAGCATCTTGAAATGATCTCTCGCTGATGAAAAGAGGACCTCCAACAAGCTCCTGCAGCTGTCCTGAGAGGAAGGTGGAGTGACGAGCCAGGAGAACCTCTGGGACCCCGTTCTCCGGCTGCGATGCGGGGCGGCAGACAGCAAAAGAGGCGCACCGGTTGAGGATGACGTCAGCTGCCCTGTAGACGGAGCGTACTGCAGGGGCCGGCAGCGTCGTTAGCAAGCAGCCGCTACGAGAGCGGAGTGAGCCGAAGGACAGAGGGCCACCGTCTCTTCCCGTCTCTGAGCGTGTACGCCAACAGCGTAACATGTTGTTCGCTGCAGCCGTGTGGAACACATGCTGGTGAGCTCAGTTGGAAAGCGGTGTCACTGTCTCGGTTACGCTAACCGGAGGCACGGGACGCTGGTCCACCTCGACATCTTGCTCCAATGAAGCCTCCATCAGGCTCGGCTCCAGGGGGCACGGAGGGACTTTCCGCTCAGTGAACCCCTGCTCTGGAGATGGGTGCGGACTGTGGAGACCGGCTCCCCCAATCTACCAGGAAAAAACCCGTATGTGGCCTCACCCATAGGACGTCCTGTTGGGAACACGAGGCCATATGGATCATGACGGTGAGCCGGAATGAAACCCAGTAAACAACCTTCCCGCTGGATCATCCGAACTGGCGGGAAAGGCGTAGGACGTAAAAAGGGTCCCTTCATGTCAGCCGCCTCCTGGGTTACGCCGGGCAACCCCTGAGGGCGCCGTCGGACGGGAGCGGTGTGATCGCCGATGCGAAACGAGGTGGGATGGGGTGAGCATTCACTCAGCCCCCCTCCACCGACACTACGCTCTCCAGGAGGGAATGAGCAGCGGGGGGCTGCAGCTGAACGCGCCTGTCCCGGAGGAACCATCCGATTCGCTCCGAGGGTCGGCGATAAAAGGAAAAATACAAGATGGCGTTGTCCAGCGTGTAGACCTGTCACTGAGAAATATTCCTCGGCGCTTACCTTGAAATAAGACTGCTCGTCAGCTTCTCCTTGGGGAGGAGAACTCACCGGATGACCGGAGGTCGACTGCCGGGCCAAGCATCCTCAACAAAGGTTGGTCATCTACATAATTTTCCTTCTTTGTTCTTCTGACAGTGCCATTAGCTCGCTGAAGAAGAAATGGGAGCCGATTTCCCACTCTTAACGTAATTTATACGGACCGGGTGGGGCCCACACAGCAGGTGGGCGTGGACTAAATTTTTCAGTGCAAATGCTCCGCATAACGGGATAAACCCACTAAGCGACAGCTCTTAAAGGGCGAAGCCTATACGAAATAGAACTGCAGGTTTCAGTGTGGTGCACAATATGCGACAGAGTCGTTGCAACTAATGGCAGGAACGCATCAAACTTGTTTCATCTTAAGAGTTTCCACTTGATAGAATATGATGAGTCACAAGATGAAGCACAATAAAGTTTGAGCCAACGTGTCCCCCCCCCACCCCAACCAGGAAAACCTGGAGTGGAGTTTTAGTGGTTTCAGTTTTCGCCTATTAATCAAGTGGAATGGATTTGTTCACGAAGAAAGAGAAACTGCGCCGTCTTATGTTTCATAGTAAAAGTGTGTGTGTGTGTGTGTGTGTGTGTGTGTGTGTGGTGGTGGTGGTGGGGGGGTCCAAATGAACGTTTTTTTAATGTGGGGGGACATGTACCCTTCCATATAATGGTTGCGACGCCTATGACACAATTAGACAGAACATGCACACGATCAGTGCACAGGAAATGTGAAACAAGACCGCATTCAAAGAAACTACATTCTCATTCCTCTGTGCCCCCAAACATGGAGAGCAGCTACGCTGAACACTTTCATTCGGCATTGTTACGCTCCATGTTTGCTTGTCCTGTTCCAGAGCTGGGAAAGTCACTGGGAACAAAAACCAGCATTTTAAAGATTCACTGCTAATGACATTTAAATTGAATGAATGAGTCACATATTGCAGCATGAATGCAAGAATCCCAGTCACAGGACAAGAAAGTGCTTGTAAACTTTGTGCAGAAACAAACACAACAGGTGAATCAGTGTGTGTCACTGACCCTCACACATTTTACAGTACAACATCCACCTGCACACAGTACAGTCTAACAGGCTGGGAGGGAGAGAAGTTCAGGAATGGACTTTGAAGGCCAGCAGCTGTTCAGAGTGCAAGTTGTTGAGTGAGCGCAGGTCAGGCAGCTTGAGCAGCAGCTTGGTGAAGACGGCCGACTCGTTCGGGTGGTTCCGAGTGATGAGGCTGCGCAGGGCACGGATCAGCATTTCCTGCAGTGCCTCCACAGAGTTCGCATTCTCGATTCCAGAGCGATCTGTGCACAGAAAAACACAAGAACTCCACTATCTGCAGTTTCTGATGAGTCAGCACACAGTTCAGATCATGGCTGCCTCAACACTTGTGCGTTTCCTCCCAGGTGTCAGTACCACACTGGACTGAAGTCCAACAGGACGGCTGTTGAACTTTTCTCACCTTCATGTGTACAGTGTACTCCAGCAGATTAAATCAAACCTGGGGGTGGCTGCCAAGATGGGTACAATGTAGGACCTAAATGGACTGAACATGGTAAATGGACTATACTTATACAGAGCCTTTCTATCTGATCCAGATACTCAAAGCTCTTTACAACAATCTGTGTCCTCATTGACCCATTCATACAGCTCTATACTAGATCTATACAGAGATAATTGAACAAATAATTCTAAAGAGACTAATCAGTGATTTATCACATTCATACACTGATGGGACACACATCAGAGGCTATGAGAGGTTCAGTGTCTTGCCCAGGGACACTTCAGCATGTGACTGCTGGTGGATTCAAACCCCCAACTCTTGCATTGGAGGATGACTGCTCTAACCACTCAGCCACAGCCAAACAACTGCTAAGTTCATGGCAAAAACCAACGCAGACATGTTCCTGTTTTTAGTTTCTGTTTTGTTTTTTTATATAATTTCTTCTATTTACTTTTCATTTTATATGTTTTTATATGATTGTCTGTTGTCTGTACCTCATCTGTGTTCGTTAAATCAGGTCTCTCTTGTAAATGAGTCCTCGAGGATCAGTGACACTAACCTGTAGAAATAAAGGATGAATGAATGAATTGGTGGCTCCGACACAAAAACTCAAGTTCGGTGAGAGTTAAACTATTTTCTCACATTTCTGAGTCACCAACCAGTCTCCAGCAGTCACACCACAGATACTGGCTTTTTTAATTTTGCACTTTTCATTTAGAACTGGTGAACTTTACAAAACTCTACAAAGTTGTGTTCAGTTTGCGTTTTTAGAAACAATCAGAATATTGTTTCATTACTCAAGAGTTTTTTTTTTTTTGCTTCCCATTTTCCAAAAATGACAAGTTTACCAACCAGCAGTAAACTGGTACTTGTAATAATTATTTTAGACATTAACATGTGGCTAAAAGTGACATTATGTTGTTTTTTGAGATATTGTGTGTTGCCCTCCCCTATTAATACAATCTTTGAACTTGAAATGTTTCTATGTTCATGCTGATTTATTGTAGGTCAACACATTTACAGGACTCTGTCGTAAACAGATAAAAGAGCTATACATACACTTCATTTCAAATTAGGGTTTGGTGCGTGGACTGGACACAGACTGGTTTATTTTTGGCAATGACTGATGTTGACTTTAACTCAAATGCCAAAGATTTTTTCAATCACACCATTTGATCTTAAACTATAACAACTGTATTCTCACAGCAGAAACTGCAGCTCTTTATAGATCAGAGAAAAACATCATATCCATTTCAGATCCTGCTGTTCTGATGATGTTCACAAACCAAACAGGGAGATCACATGTTATGAATGCTGAGAGTACAAACTCAAACCACAAATTGAAAACAGAGATGACACCAGAACAGCTCTTAATAAATTCAGAATACATTTGATGAAAGCAGCAGTAGGCCTGTCACGATAACAAATTTTCTGGGTGATTGTGTCAGAAATTATTGTGATAAACGATAATAATGTTTGAAATTTGACAATAATTATGGATAGTGAGGGAGCGAGCAGTGTGTCTCTTTAAGAAAAATGGGAGGGAGGCCCCTTGACGTGACATGGACTGTCGCTCTCTGGTTCTCAAAATGGCGGACGCTCTGTGTGGTTTGAGCTCTTTAGCATAGCATTTTTCATACAAAGCTTTTAATAAATAAAAAAAAATCAGTAAACAAGTTCTCAGCTTCTTTTTGCAGAGAAAAACAACTTTTTACATGAAGGCACGGGTTTTAACTGTGAATCTTGGAGCTTCGACAAGAGTCGGCCTGTTAGCTCGTAGTTTAGCTGCTTTTAGTGATCCACAAACACGATTTGGAATGTTTAAAACAGATTTTAAAGAGAAAAGAGAAAGGGAGGGGTCAGAGAAGAGCACCGGAGTTGAGCCTTTTGTCATCCAGTGTCTTCAGTCGAAAGAGAGAGACACGAAGAAACAAACGATAAAGTCGATAAATGAAAAGGAGGTTGATAATTTTCATTTATCATGCGATTGATTTATTGTTTATGGCGACAGGCCTAGGCAGCAGTCAGCTCACCACCCACCAGCAGAGACAAGAACCACAGCAGTGAAGAGACTCATCTCCTCTTCATTAAGGCCCAGGTTCATCAACTTTTCAGTGAAGTCCAACACAGAGTTGAGGAGATCACCGGAGCCCATCGCCTTCAGTGCGTCCACACTGTACTTGTTCCCCCCCAAGGAATGTGACGGTGCGCTCCTTCGTGTTAAACAGTGAAGCAAAGCAAACAACCAATACCTGCAGGACATCAGAGCACCCAGACCTTTACACCTTGATCCTCAGACTAAAGATCCCACATCTGGAGGAAAGAGGAATTACCTCAAAGGTGCCGGCCATCAGCAAGCTGACCTGGTCATGCTGCGACAGGTCTCTGAAGCCTGGGATCTTCTTGGCAAATTCCACCACCTCCCTGACGGCGGGTGTGAAGCTGTGGGAAAACTCCTCCCACACCTCAGGTCCAGACTTATGAAGATCCACGTGAGGAGACGTGTTCATTGGACAAACCTGAAAGGAAACATCCCATCAAGAGAGAGACGTCACCCCTCCTTTAGACCCGACATGTGCTGTATGGTAACAGTGTCTTACCAGATACGTCCTGCTGCCTCCCCTGCACACAGGCTGGCTGTAGGCTCCTCTGGCACCATGGACGTATGCTGGGCTGTGGCTGGCAGCGGTGCTTTGGGACAGTCTGAATGCCCACTGTCTGGAGATGACGTCCTCCTGCTGGGGAGCATGGTCTAGTTTGAAGGGCAGGTTTTGACCCACTATTGTTCCAGAGTTGTTTTGGTGGTTCCTGGCATCACGCTCCTCTTGACTGGTGCTGGTTTTTATCAAGGTGCAACTCAAGGCGCTTGGTGCTGTCCCAGCCAGCAGCCTGCTCTGCTCCTGGTTGTACATGAAGGTCTCCTGATGGACTCTGGTCACAGAGCCAATCACCTCCTCCTCGCTGCTTTCTGAAACGCTGGGAGAGGCCGAGCTAGAGCTGGTGTCCATGGACCCGGAAGGGTCTGGGTTAGAACTGGAGTGTGATGAAGATGAAGGGGTGGGGCTGGTGTCCCCACAAGTAGGCTTGGCAGCACTGGTTGGCGGTGCAACGTTGATGGACAGCTCCTGGTCGTGGTGCAGATGATCCTGCAGCTGGCTGTTGTTCATCATTGTGTTCATGGCACTCTGCATCTCCAGCAGCATGCGCTGTTTCTCTCGCTTAGGGATCCGGCCAAAACGTACAGCTGAACAAAAAGGAGTCATTTCAGACTTGATCCTAAATGTTACAAAGAATGAGTTCTTCTGATTCCAGGGAATTAACCATAAATACTTGAACCACTGACCAGTTCTGGAAGAACTGCAGAACTCCCCCCACCTTTCTTGCCAGTTTTAAACTAAGATTTTGAGAAATAGCAGTCTGACTAATTTTGTTTAGACCTTAAAATGAACATTAGACATGAGCTCATGAAGCAGCTTGTCTGCTTTCCGATGAGCAAAGGTAACCACTGGATGTAGCGATAAGCACCTTTGCTTGCAGCCTCTCCACCAAGGGGTCCGGAAGCTGACTTCAGCGCCATGGTATTACCTGTAGCTGTCTAAAGTAACCTCATTAAGGCTGCGGCGAGGTGATTCATCCAGAATATTAACGACCTTTAATCCGTGAGTCACACCCTAATCTCACTCTGTTACCTCGAACCTCCAAGCAGCAGGGAATGGATCTTCTGGTCCAGAGAAACTCGCGTTGTGGCCGCTCACCTCTCACTCTAGCGTTGCAATTGTTAACTGTTCTGGTAATTTTTAGGGCCCTGGAAATGGGCACAAGGGTGTTTGTTATTCTGTAGCTAATAAACCTGTCAAAACCTCCTTTATTGATGTTTTTTAAGTGAACCAAGCATTACCATGTATTTAGTTGATAAGAATGAAATAATAGTCCAGATTTGTACGTTTTGCTTTGCTTTTAATCAATAATTTGCGCAGGGGTACAGCAACAGGCACAATTTTATAATGATTAAATTTTCATGAGTACATAGGATACACTTTCTTCCCTAAACAAGGCGATGACTACTATCTGTGGAACTCTAAACCTCAAGAGCCCTTGAGGGTTTACAGATGCTGCCTTCACATAAACCTTTCACAACTCAAGCCAAAAGATGTTCTCCCTCAACTCCCTCATGAACCAGAAACACCTTCGAGCAATTCTCACCAGTAACCAATTCAGTACTCCCAAATTTATTCTGTATGCTGTTCTTCCAATTTGTTGAAACAATTTAATTAGAGCAGAGTAAGAATGAGGTCGTCCGCTTACCATGATTTTGGAGTGACCCTTAGTGGGACACTTGTGAGGGTAAGGGCAAATTTCCTGTTCTCTAGGAGAGAGATACAGGCCAACCTCGAAGGCAAGTACAGCTATTCCAAATTAGAGGATCAGAGTTTTTGGACGGGCCCAGGTCAAGCGATTAATAGAAGTGGGAAACTCATCCAGTTTGAGTGTTGACGAAAGAAAGCTTAAATCCAATCCCATGTTAGTGAAGAAAAGAATTAACTCCCATCATCGTCTCAAAACTGGTAAAATCCAACTCCTTTTTGGGCTCCCTCTGATCCGATGAGCTTGTCCATCGCCTGTAATCCCCTCTGCTCGGCTCTTCAGTTCAGCTTCGACTCCGCATTGACCAAGTTTTATTCTGTTCAATCTGTATTTAAAGACTCATTCATCCCTCCTCCTCTTAAGGAGGGGTTATGGAAAATTACATCATCTCTTTTCCAGTAACTTCTCTGCTGTTTTGCACCTCAACCGGTTCAGACCGGTTTTCTCGGTACTTTCCAGAACTTGTTTTGCTCAAAGATGCATCATCATGAGATGAGTTGTGTTTGAACCCTCTGACTCCTTGTTTTCCTCCTACTGCTCAAGGCAGGCCCAGACATGTTCTTAGGTGGGCATGCTCAGACATGTTCACTGTTACTGAGGCCTCTTCAACTTTACCATTTCACAAGCAAAAGTGAATCACACAATCCTTCATAAGATTATACAATGTCTTAAAGATTAACACTTTCATTAGTTGATTATGTGTTGATTATTAGTAAAACAGTTTGGTTACACATTATCAAAACAGTAAAACACTTTTGATTACACATCATCATGTTTAGCTAGATTTAAAGCAGGAGTTCAGTCCTTATGTTGCTGAGGAGAACTTTTGATCAGGCTTCATTTTTCTTAAAGCTGGTGGTCTGTTCATGCATTATCACCACAGACACCTGGTTTATTGACACCCCCTTCTTGAAGTCGGATCTTTCTCCTCTTTGGCACCAGGTTCGCTGTAACCTAGCCCTCCTGTTCTCCCTCCCAGGAGTGAACCACCGTCATGTTGTCCAGGTCTGCGTTCGAAGTGGATTGCTCCGCCTGATCATCTGGCGCCGCTCGCTTCCTGGGTACCCTGACCTCCTGGGCCGGGACAGCGGATTGACTTGCTGGGTCGATCTCCGTTAGGTCAGCCGATCTAGAAGACTGAAGGGTCGGCGGGATCTCAACAAGGGGTGAACCTACAGGAGTAATGTTTTCTATTATGACCTGCCTCCTAATTTGTGGGGTCGTGGCAACTAAAATGGGCATCTGACGAAGCTGTTTCAGCCGCATAGGGGCGACCTGTAACCCTTCAGATTCAGCAGTTTCTGAATGGGTCAAGCCTTCCGGTGTTAAGATCGGAGGCTCAGAATCAGATGGGCTGGTTGGGTCAGTGAGGGCCGTGCCATCGGTACTCAGAGGACCGGATCGGCTCGCCTCGCTACTTAAATACCTGTCAAAGTCATCCAGGTAGTTTTCCAGGAGACTGAGATCGTTATGATCTAATGGAAGTGCAGTCGACCTTCCAGGGGATATCTCCACCTCCATGGGCTCGGTTTCATTATGGGATGTAGTTGGTAAAAGGTCAGGTGGGCCATTAGTTGGTTCCTGGAGCTGACTGGCTATCTCGGTTTGGGTTATAGGGACACTAATACTGTCTCGTCTACCTTCTTCCCTAGCCACCATGGGCACGGAGACTACGGGAGGGCTATTTGTTAACCCTGGCGTTAAAATGACCATGATAGGTTGGGGCATAAGCCCTTGGGGCTCTTGGGTGACCCTAAACGAGGGGCCGTGAACCAAGGGCAACCCTGTGGCCAAATGGTAGGCTACATGTCTGGTGGTTCTATTTGTGTTTTCCCAGAGTTTCACAATTACTGGGTAATATGTGGCTCCTAGAGGGATAGCTGTACTAGGCATATAAGGTTCAGAGCCCTCAGCCGAGGTCCAGATGATCTTGCAGGTGCTCTCTAGCTCCCAGCACTTGTCTGCAGACACCCGGGGAAGGCTGGCGGGCTCATCAGAGACCAAAATACCATGTACTCCAGTCGCGATTATAACTTTAGAGTGGCAGCCCTGGCACCACCAGGTTGGACCCACGGCCCATAGAAATCGGGTATCTTCCAACCCCAAAAGGCAATAACAGCAGACCGTTTGAGGTCCTATTGCTAATAAATTTTTGGGGCGCTGAACCTGCATTTTGACTGTTGGGGCCTTTCCTTTATTTATTTCTTAGAGTGAGGTTTTCTTAAACCGATAAAGGGTGGTTCTGCCCTGTCGTCTGGCTATCCCACAATAGGTGCGGGTAATGAATTTCTCCCACTCTTCCAATTGGTTTAATTGTTGGGTTGTGATCACTGTTTTCCAATCACAGTACCCAGGTAACAGTAATCCTGAGGTATTTGAGATGCCGTATTCCCTATATGTAACGCTAATATATTTATCCTGCCCTGCAGTTTCTATTTTTTGGATTTTGCATACGTCACCACAAAGGGTTACTCTAATCCTCTGGATCTGCTGGTGGTCGTACACTTTCTCCTCACAGTGGCAGAGGATGATCTCTCCGGTATTTGTTGTTACTACGAGTTTGTCCGGAGCTGTGAAAGCGAACGCCCAGTTGCTGTAGACTGTCGCTGTGGTCAGGATGTAGAACAGCATCTGCATTCTGCTCCTTATGCTTTCTATAAAGAGAGTACATGTAACATAACATGGCAAAATAATAACAATGAAATCAAGGTCTGCTTCCACTCTCGGTCCCCATCGTGTCTCTGAAACACTCAACTTCGTATTGCTGGGCCTATACAGGCCGTCAGCTATCCATTGAGCATTTACCAGACCGATGATACCTCGAGTTTACAGAATTCAAAAATAAAATCAATCATAAAAAGAGAGAAAAATAATATTTAAACACTAAATCAATCTTTCAAAGTTTAATAAAAGTTAGCAAAAGCGGGGAGGGGTAAAGCTGTTGTTGGTTATTTGATTACTTCTGTTATTATCTCGTTAGATTGGCTTGTCTCATCATCCTCCTGAGATTCTGCGGCCTTCGCTCCCTTCCGGTGCAGGGGGAGCTGGATCAGGTCTCGGCTTAAAGATAGCGGCATAGGTCATCATCCACACCACTATAGGCATTGTGGTGCAGAGGCTGGCCCAATAGGCTATTGCACAAATTCCCCAGACCAGACTCCATCCAATTAAGATGGCCAACTTTTTGGTCCATTTACGTCTGTTTTGTGGTTGCAAGGATACTATCTGGTACAGCAAATTTGCCAACACCGTTACGGCCACTGTCCCTTCGACTATGGTTGCTACAATTCTCCCGGTGGTACCTCCACAGCTTGTGACTGGTATTGGCACAGGAGTAAGTGCTGCCGCACACTCAAGGCTAATCACTATGGAATCTTCTATTAGCCATGCTGAAATTATAATCTTCTGCAGGTAGGTGAGTTTGATTCTTCCTAACAGATAGGTAACAAAGAAATGAGGCGATATCTCAGGTCGTCTGAGTATCACATGGGATACTATCACTCTAGCGTACGTCTGAACCGCTACTGGAAATCTTATCAACCTTTCCTTACTCCAGTCTCCTGTGTGGCAGTAGCACATCCATGCAACCATTGTTAAAAAGTATTCTATATTGCTCCCATTAAAATAGGCTGGACATTCTGACAAAATGGTAAGATTGGGGGTCATCGTAGTTTGTGTCTCCCAATCTATAATACTCACATCTGTGGTTGGAGTATAAGACACGCAGTCGTCTTGATTGTCCATAGAGATTTTTGAATTGCTTCTGTCCTGATCCTTGCTCTTTACTGCTCCCGGGGTAAGAGTGAAGCCGCTTCCCTGTTTATCTAATTTAAGGCTGAGCCGCACCCTACTCTGGTGGGGGTGGCCTATAGCTCCTCC